AAAACGAAACATTATTAAGGAGCGAAAACGACAGAAGTGTAATCAAGAGGACAGTAGATAACGATTGACATTGCATTTGAATTTTTGAAGATCAAAGTTGGCTAGAAAGCATGCAGCCGGAAGGGAATTCCACAAATGTGATGTGCAAGAAAAGAAACTGTCGGCATGGAATTTACGGCTACATCTAGCTAACTCAACTCTAAATTGATATGATCTCACCACCAGTCTAGTATTTCAGAGAACAATAAAATTAAATTTTGTTTGATTAAAACCTTGCTAACATGGAAGTACCCAAGAATCATTTGAGGCACATAATGCTTTATGCGTTCAAGAAAGAAAACTCAGCAGCCAAAGCGGCTAGAAACATTCACTCAGTTTATGGATAGGAATGTGTGAATGAAAGAACTTGCAGAAGATGGTTTACAAAATTCAGAGGTGGAGATTTCACCCTTGAAGATGAAGATCGAACAGGACGCCCAGTTGAGTTTGATAAAAAAAAACATCTTGAAGCAGCCCTTGAAGAAAATCCTGCTTTATCAGTTGAGGAATTGGCAGTGGTTCTCAGTTCAAACCATACAACTGTTCATCGTCATCTTCAACAACTTGGAAAAGTTCCTAAACTTGGAAAATGGGTGCCTCATGAATTGTCTGAAAACAACTTCAAATCTCGAGTTGAAATCTGCTCTTCTCTCCATTCTCGCCAACTTGTTTCACCTTTTTTGGATACACTTTTGACTGGCGACGAAAAATGGATCTTTTATCGCAAAGTTTAGCGTCGTAGACAGTGGCTTGTAAAGAGGAAGGACCCTAGCCACAGCCGAGAAGGCAACTTCATGGGCAAAAGGTTCTTCTTTCAATCTGGGAATCCACTTTGAATTCTTACCACCTAATGCAACAATTAATGCTCAAATATACTGTAAGCAATTAGAGCGTTTGAACCAAGTTTTGAGGAAAAAAAAAGACCTGCTTTAGTGAATCGAAAAGGGATGATGCTTCATCAGGTCAATGCGCGACCCCACACAGCAAGAATCCCGTCACAAAAGATCGAAGAACTTGGTTGGGAGAAAATTCCTCATCCACCTTATTCTCCCGATCTTGCTCCTTCAGACTGCCATTTGTTTCGTAGCTTACAGAATCATATGGAAGAAACAGCTTTTGTAACACAGGAAGAATTTAAAACTGACATTTGTGAGTTCTTCGAATCAAAGCCAAAAGAATTTTACAGTAATGGAATTAGTAAGCTTGTTAATAGATGGAAGTCATAGATAATCAGGGACAATACATTGTTGATTGAATCTGTAATTAAATGTAACATTTGGTCACTTATTTTCTTTATTCAAAATTCGGACAGAATTTATGGGATGACCTGATATATAAAAAACCGCACAGAGAGGCAATCTTAAATGACAGAAGCCGAAGAACTATTTCAGGATCAATTAAACTGGTGATTCTTCTTTGGATTTTATTAACATTGTATTATGTTTTCAATGTTATCCAAGAATCTTTAAGTATTTCTTTTACTTACTTTACAGAATACTATCTGCAATAAAGTTGCTGATAAGTGGATTTATTCTTAATCCAAAATCCTGATTTTATTTTTCAGCAAATGGGTATAATGCTGTAAATGGTTTAACTACTAAGGTAAATAGTATCATTTTATTTTTATATTATTAAAATATATAAAGTCGTGGAGGGGGGTCCTCTTCGTAAATTGCAAAGATAGATCGTGGAAATGACCAAAGTCCTGCTGCTAGGTGAATAATGCTAGTTAATTAAAAGAACGAGATGTTCCTGAGAAGACTCGATGGCAATCTATTTCTTCGTTACTCCAATATATCGATGTAATGTAGACTATTCTGAAAGTTTCTTGTTTTGAAAGGGAAACGGATTCCATTTCTGAGGAGACATTCCATCTTCATAATACATCGCTATATTATGACAAAGCAACGCTGCACGTTGAATCAATATGAGTTTATCATGTACGCATAAAATATGGCCAGGAATAAGAGGCGGGAAAGTTTCATGTTCATTTACACTTCCGCAGGAAATTCAAAACCTTCATTGTATGATCACTCCAATAGAGTTGCACCAGAAGTTACGGTAATTATAAATAGATAGATAAATAGTTAGAGATAGATAGTGAGAGAGTATATATATATATATATATATATATATATATATATATATATATATATATATACACAAAAACATGTAAACAATTTCTATACAATTTACGTCTAGAAAAAAAAAAGAAAATAATAACACATGAAGAATTAGATAAAAATTTTGTACATTGTCAGTCGCTTTTAATGAAACATGTATAAAAGAGGGATGCTACCCAAAGACACAATTTTATATATATATATATATATATATATATATATATATATATATATATGAAGAAATATAGTCTTAATGTGTGCTATATTTATGGGGTAAAGTGCTCAATATCAGAGATAGAGTGTGTGTAATTATAAAAAAGTGAACATAGAAGTCAATACTTAGAGGCGACAGTCTGTTTCATGCTAGATGCAATCGTCAGGCCTGACGATTGCATCTAGCATGAAACAGACTGTCGCCCTAAGTGTTGACTTTATTTTAACTTTATATATATATATATATATATATATATATATATATATATATATATATATATATATAGCGGTTGGGATAAGGAGAGACACACAGGGAGACTAGGATAGATATAGAAACGGACTTTAGATAGATAAATAGAGAAAGAATATGATAGATAGAGACAGGAGAAAATCAGTTGAGTCTATGACTTGAAGAAGGGCTCGAGATAAAGAGAGTAAGAGATAGACGGATAGACTACAACGGAGATAGATAGATAGATAGATAGATAGATAGATAGATAGATAGATAAAATGGAGATGAATTAGTACCAAAATTCCAGTCCTAAAGAAAAAAATTATAATACCATGAATCCTTAAAGTTGTCTGTTTCTTAATATATATATATATATATATATATATATATATATATATATATATATATATAATTAATTTATAATAATTACTATTATATATTAAAATTAATATATAATATAATAAATTAATATAATATTAAGTTATATATATAAGTTATTTTAATAATCATTATTATATATAAATAAATGAATATATAATTATTATATATACAGATAGATAGATAGATAGATAGATAGATAGATAGATAGATAGATAGATAGATAGATAAGTGCGTGTGTGTGGATTGTTATTATGTGTGTATGTATGAGTTTGTGTGCCTATATATTAGATCAACCGTGTATAACACCCGTTTTCTTATGCCTTTCTAAAATGTCTAATTCATAACATTCTAGCATAATAGAAAGCGTTTGTACATGTTTAAAGAAGTATGTTTCTGTTGGCTTGTCACGATTTAACTTAGTTATTACCTGGCCTATGATAAAAACGTGTTTGTGTACGAATCACAGGAAACATTTCCTGCTCAATGTGTTTAGAAAGAAAACAATAATGCAGCACAAACGGAAACATTCCCCAATCTTCATGACATTGATATTTAAACAGAAAACATTATCAATGATTGAAGTCGTTTATTAAAAAGTCTCTCATCTTAAGAGATTCGCATTGAATGGGCTGTCCTATTGAAAAGAGAAATAAACTGAAGTCACGGCTGAAAAAATAACTCAAGTTCATTCAAACAATTCAAATGTTTGCCATCAGGTGTAACAATTATGTATGTTGGTCTTTAAACGTTGCAAATGAGTAATGCATCGTCTGACGGAAGATTCGTAAGAGAAGAACAAATGGCTGCATTTATTGTAAGCATATCTTGTCATAGGAAACAAGAGATAAAACTCTACCCCCAATATTTTGAACAGGAGTAGATGGTTATCCCTTGTTTCCTGTTTAGAATAGGGTTTCCGGTACCAACTAAAATCTACTTCAATCCTCTACTTACAATGTCTCCGGAGAACTTTTGAAATTGTATTTATTATTTATAGTTTTGCTTCAATAGGGGTCGACAGGTTCACCTATCATCTGGTTCAAACACCTCCTCGGTCTTTTGAACAGAAGTGGAATTTTATTACTTGTTTCCTGTTTAGGAATGGGTTTCTTGTTCTGTCGAACTTCTTTTCTTTCTCTTTTAATTGCATTAGTAGCCTATCGAATCTTAGTGGCTTTATCGCCTTGCTTGGGATGAATTGATTTTGTTTTAACTAATTATCAACGAAACGTAGAGCTTTTACAAGAATATAAAGTAATGGAGACTAGCTATTTACTAGAGGCGAACAGGCTAGTGCAGAATCGGTACGCTCTCAAAGTGACCATTCTTAAATATGAATCAATTCTGATAGGCACAACGAAAATACTGATCCATTTAAGTAGATCTAGGGGACGTGCTTTGCAGTCACCCAAAGTGCTGACTCCTTTCATCGATACTTAATTTCGGTGCTCGAATGAGAACCAGTGATTTCAACGAATCTTTAACACGAGTCAACCCTTTTGCTTTCAGACGCTCATTATAGCATACCAAACTCAAAGGACAAATTGACAAGCAACCGTGTATAATACCCGTGAATGAGAGCAATGTCTATGAAGCTGGAAGACTCCAAGATTTGAAGTTTATCATTTTGTATTAGTTTAAAAAAACAAAAACAAACTTTTTTATAACTAGACACCCATTAACAGCCTTTAATTAAATATGTAACGAATATCTTGGATTCATTTCTTCTTTTGCGCGAGGGACGATGCCTTCTATAAAAGGGGAAACTGTCTGGTCGATTCTTATTGGCTTTGACCAATACTGAATTATAACTCTATTAATAGCCACGCAATTGGTACTCTAACAGAATGACCATTCTCAACATGGAAATGCAAAGAATGAATTTCTTGACTGATACAAATAAATATCGATTTGTTCAGTGGGCAGATAGTCTGTGATTGAGAAAAGAGAAATGTAATCAGTGACGTCAAAAGACTTGCGAACAATAAAATAAAGAATCCTTATGACTAACATTATGCTTCTATTAGATAGATAGATAGATAGATAGATAGATAGATAGATAGATAGATAGATAGACGCGAATGAATTATGATAGATAGATAGATAGATAGATAGATAGATAGATAGATAGATAGATAATTGAGTTCTTCAGTGAATTCTTCCTGTGTCAGGAAAGCTGCACCATGTGATTCTGCATTGAAGAACGCAATTGATTCTACATGCCAAAATTGGCATACAATTCTGAGATAGATAGATAGATAGATAGATAGATAGATAAACTGTTGATCAATCAAGATAATACGCACTCTCCCAGAAACTGTAACTAAAGTCTGTTCAGCATAGTTGCAGTATAAAGCACAGGTTGGCTCTGTGGATAGTAAACACAAATGTGCCCGAGCGAGACTTTGCAATAGGAATTGGCTAACCACCCTATAAAACACGTACCCTCAAATGCAATTGTCCAGATATTATATATATATATATATATATATATATATATATATTGGTTTTGTTGTAATACTTCGTTCTATCGCGTGTTATGACATCATAGAATCGCATCTTGACCTTACGATCTACATCTGCTATTCCACAACTGTTATCTTTGCATAGCAATTTTCTATGTCAAAATAAAAAAATATCATTTTTCACAGTGGATATCTTTTTTTTCATGTCTGTATAACCACTCTGGGGATGGCACATGTGGACCGAAAGCTTAGGACTATCTTAATAAAATAATATCCAAATGTTGGATAAATTTTATCTTTAATTTTACCAAAAATTAAAGCAAACATTCGAACATTAGAATGACACATGATCAGACATAATAGGCATTCATTGTCTGTTATATTTAATATTATATGCTTAAATAATGATCTGCTACCCCAATACACTAAATACACACACACACACACATATGCACATACACACACACACACACATATATATATATATATATATATATATATATATATATAACATCAAAAGTTAAACATATGCAATGAAAGTTTCATTGCATATGTTTAACTTTTGCAGTTATGGACACAGAATTTAAAAATATATATATATATATATATATATATTTAATGAAAAACAGACACTTTAAGGTACCATTACAATAATTTATTTCACCAAAATCCTTTTAGAGGATTTCAGATCATCAGGTAACACTTCCAACAATGAAATGAGAGGAATTGTTGGAAGTGTTACCTGATGATCCGAAATCACCCCAAAAGGATTTTGGTGAAAATAATTATTGTCATGGTATTCTGAAGTGTCTGTTGTTCATTAAATATTAGCTCTGTTCTTACATTGAGCTCTCAGGATTTCATCCTCCTTGGATTTACCAATTCGGTTTACCAAGTTCTTCATAACTTAACTATATATATATATATATATATATATATATATATATATTAAAAAGAAGAGAAGAGAGGTGCCGCAAACGTTTTTGTTTGTAATGTGGATTTATTTAGAAAAAAATATGCTTTGTTTTCCATAATTTTACTACACGAGTTTCTGGTCTCGCGACCGTCTTCAGGTAAAAGGCGGAGATTTCCACATATTATTAAAAATAATTAATTTGTTTCCTTATGTTTTTCAATGTTAAATGTTCTCGATATGAGACATTCTCTGTTTTTTTGTTAGTAATCCGAATGCCTTTCTTGAATTGGCAATGAAAATATATAATTTTAATGTGTTCTATATTATGGGACGTCACACATGACCGCACGAGAGTGAATTGTAGAAGTATGAAATATGGAAAGCCGTTGGTATAAATGTCATTTTTAGGCATTTAAAACAACATGCCTGCCCGCACACACAATTCCGTAAAATACTTGTGGAAAAACACAATTATACTTTGACATGAAAACAATAGACAAAAACTAAAAATCCTTGAAGCATTATACATCAAACAGTTGAAACCCAACCTAAACAACATCAATTATGGCATCTATACAAATATTCTTAAATGTCTATAATTGGTAACAGAAGCCATTGGTTTATACCAACGGCTTCCCATATTTCATACTTCTCCAATTCACTCTCGTGTGGTCATGTGTGACGTCATGAGATGCGGTGCGATTTTCGCTTCTAGCGTCTTATATGCGCGTGTTTATCGTTACTTAGAAATCATCTATGTAAACATCGACAGACTATCATCACTGTCTTGTCCGTATATTGTTTAATATGTTGTAATTGACATCTTTGATAATGGCTTAAGCCGAAAGCTTAGATTGTATTAAAAAAATATGGATCACTATTGTGAATTTCTTTCTTCGTTCAACGATAATGTTATTAAACTTATCAGATGTTACGAAAAAAAATTACATAAAATAAATAGACAACACTTGTCTATATTATTTAATGAAACGTGTATGAATATATATATATATATATATATATATATATATATATATATATATATATAAGTTATATTTAACCTTCTTTTTTTAAACATGTTTCGTTGAATAATGACAGACAAGATAAATTTAATTAATTTTTTATTCAGTTTTTCCAGCATAATTACTTTTGTTTCGTTCGGTGTGTGTGTCTCTGTGCATGCGTGAGTCTGCGTGAGTCTGCGTGTGTGTCATACAATTATATTTTTAAATCGAACCATTTAAAATAAGAGTTGTACAAAGATTTTTACATCTAAGCCTTTATGATAATTAGAAAATGTTGTCTAAAATCATTTTGAAATATCTATTTGATTAAAAGAATTATGAATAACTAATAAGTTGTTACAGTTGTTTATTATCAAATTTTAGTAACATCTACCCCAATCAAATACAAAGAATATATATATATATATATATATATATATATATATATATATATATATATATATATATAAAAAAGTGAACATAGAAGTCAACACTTAGAGGTGACAGTCTGTTTCATGCTAGATGCAATCGTGGCCTGACGATTGCATCTAGCATGAAACAGACTGTCGCCCCTAAGTGTTGACTTATGTTCACTTTTATATTTACACACACTCTATCTGTGATATTGAGCACATATATAGCACATCTTAAGACTACATTTCTTCTGTATATATATATATATATATATATATATATATATCATCGTAGAAAGCACGCTGAAAAATAGGTTTAGTTTGATACAAACGCATGCATACAAGCGTGAAAATATATCGATTTCGGTTATGGCCGTCTGCTAGGGTAACTTACTCTTCCCTGTTAAGGATACATGCTGAGGCACATTTGTCTTTCGTCAACCCACAGAGTCAACCTGTGGTTTGACCTGCAGCTATGCATTCCAGAACGAGAAAGAAACAGGAAAATTTATTTAGAAACAAGGTATGCTGACTTGCAATGCAATGTCATTCCAACTATTTTGGATAATTTACTTAAGAAGAGATGTAAATGTTTTAGATACATGTAAAAAAAAAGCCATATAAAAAGCAGGCGTATGTTAAGACAGCAGGCTCCAGGAAAATGCCGCCTAAAATTAAATCTAAATTAGAATGTTATTGGTCGCAGATCAAGCGTTATAAAGATAGAATTTTCAACCAATCATAAATCAAGCTGTTGGATAAATTGAAATACCTTCGAGCTTGTATAACTAAAAAAATTGATGAATTAGATAAGTTGTAATCGTAATGAGTGATATAACAAATTCAACCTCGTCTGTACAAATACTGGCAAAAGCGGCTCCATCAATCCAAAGAGGGGAGTGAAGCGGCTTGGAATCGAACGAGTCCCAGAGAAGTGAAATTACTTTTCAGCTTCACTAAATTAATACGCTTTTACTTACCTTTCTCTGTTAAAATAGGAGTAATGTTATTTACTAAGATGTCTGAAATTATTCTATAAGACAGAAAACTATTTCTAAGAAAATTTCAAATAACATTTTTTACACTAAAAGCTTATGCTCACAATAGCAACTATACATAGTAAAATCTCATTGTAAAAATATAAATAGATTGCAGTTTAAAGGTTTCATTAATTAGATAGCTATATTGATATACATACATATATATATATATGTGTGTGTGTCTGTATGTATAGACAAAATATATTTATATATAGACAAAATATATTTGTATCATTCAATGAAATATGTTTGAATGACGATATGCATATTTTTGTTTTTTAATGTTATATATATATATATATATATATATATATATATATATATATATATATATATATATATATATATATATATATAAAGACCACTTTAAGGTTCCATTATAATAATTTATTTCACCAGAGCCCTTTTAAAGGACTCTGGATCATCAGATAGCACTTCCAAAAGATGAAACGAAACGAAATGAAATATATATATATATATATATATATATATATATATATTGTGATCCACAGACAGGCTCTTCCGCTGTATCACGGCTCATCAGTGTGGCAAGACATACGATTGCCTCAAGCCAGGATCGAAACCTGACTGATTTTGCATCCAGTAATCTATCAGCTCCCGGCGAAGGTGAATTTTTACCTATTTATTTATTGAATTTTGAATAAACACGACAGTGACTCAGATTTCTTGATTCATAGAAGAGGTTTGCATTATCAGCAATAGAAATCACTGTTTAGATATTCGCACTTTCCTTCTAGTGCTTGACCGAATTTTACAATTTTCGGTACCATGTATATATATATATATATATATATATATATATATATATATATATATATATGTATATGTATATATCTTATCCAAGTATTTAATTTCTTCTTTGATGATCGCGTCCTTTATAATGATGAATGCTTCTAATGTTGAACCTGCAATCTGGAGGCGCATTTATTCTTCAACACGATGACTCTATTCGCCGCCTAAGTGCAAGATCCGGATTCGAAGCTTCCTGTTTCACCAAAACCTGCTTTCATGACCCATTCCCGATCGCCGTTTGGTTTTTCCAGAATTGGTTGAGGGTGAAAGAAAATCAGAATAGAAGAAAATGGCGATAGTGTGAATTTATTTAAGGTGGATCTCAATTTGCCAGGAAATGACCCATACACTCGATTTCATAACTTTCTTCTGCGGCACATACACACACACACACACACACACACACACACACACACACACACACACATATATATATATATATATATATATATATATATATATATATATATATATAAACGATTGCGGTTTCACTCTTTTTTAATATACATATATATATATATATATATATATATATATGAAAATTAAACAATTGTACTCGTACCCCATTTCAATCAGCTCTATAATAAATATATTGAGCTCTCTTTTGTGGATCAGTTTCAATATTTTATATTATTAGGATCTACTTGCACTGCATACCCACGGATTTTTACCTGTATATATATATATATATATATATATATATATATATAGTAAGATATTTATTACATTTTAACGTCATCCGTTTTTTTCTCTTTCTGTTTCGCCATTTTCATATTGATTTTGAGTTTTTATATTTTATCTTTGCTATTTGTTTTTCTGTCTTTTGCGTTTAGATTCTCACAGCCTTCAATATTTATAAAGCTTAAGCTTATAAGATACACAGACAAAAATAGAAGAAATATCGTCATGAAGATTGTGTTCCGTCAATCTTCCAAGTCTGGAGACAGCGGATGCCAAACTTCCTAAAAAAACAAACAAAGACAAAAAACATTAACAACGATTGCCTTTATTTTCATCCTTTTCTCTTCTCATAAATTTCATGTACCCTTTTTTCTTCCATTAGAATAATTCAGTTGTCATTATTACATTTTCGCTTATAAACGTCTACTTCTGTTACACTAATATTATATCTTTATATCATAATTCCAAAACTCAGATAGGCAAACGCCCGTACACAAATAAACACATACACAAACACTTATTTTGCTTTGGAATTAAATAAATAAATAACAATATACAATCAAGAAAAAAGAACGTTGTTTCGTTAATATTTTCATGTTTCTCCACATCATGTTTAGAATGTTGTATACGTAAATTAATTTTGCTGTCTAGTTAGATTATTAAAGTTCGACGGTTTATAAATATAAACACATGAAATAACGGTTTATTTGAAGAGAATGGTTCCAAACGATGAAAATAATTAGAAGCAGACGCTTTTCCAACGATGGCGACAGATAAGAAAGAACCAAAAAATGGCACCAAAAATTCACACCGATTGCGCAGTCATGTATAGGTAGAGAACATTTGTAAAACAACACGCAAATTACAGAAGGCTTTTATTCGTATATACGATTCATCTATCATCGTATTTTTACAGGTCTTTCGGTACCATCCATGTAACTTGTATATATACATTAATGAATAATTCCATTTTTCCCTGAATGAATTCTTCAAAGAATATTTCAATATTAATTCTAATGAAACTTATCGTAACCACTGACCAGATAACGAATGTTATATCAAGCCACAGTCTGAAGATAAGTGACTGTGGAAGAAGGACCGCATTCGTGTTACCGCGCCACAATTATTTGCCGTGTCGTCTTTAAGGGAGAATTTCCTGGAGCAAAATCACCAGTCTACTATTTTGCTAAGAAAATATTTTCACCCGATTAATTCGCTGCTCAATCAAGCGAATAAACTCTCCATCATTGTATCTTTATATAGTATTTCGTATAGATTCCTTTGACACCAGCCAAAGGTACTTGACTCCATATAGTAACGATTACTTGACCTATGATTATCATACTGTATTGATTTAGTAAATCATTTTCCTCGATTAAAAATTGGCTTTTGCAAGTGCAGAAGATCAAGTGTTTAAATATTGACCAAAGTTTGTTTCCCTAAATTAATGCCAATTCCATTGTGGTTTTCAATTTTTTTTTTCCAAAGATTTGTAAATGGCATTCTCCAATTGACGGATTGCTCATCAAGAGGTAAATAATCTGTTATGGGACCTTACCCATAATAACAAAATGGACTATTCCATATGTAATAAATACTGCGCCTCAATGAGGAAGCAGAGAGTTCCGTCTGAAGTCTGAGTTCAGTCTGAAGTCTGGAGTGAGGTCCGTCAGGAGTCTCTCAGTCAGTCAGAGCGAGCGAGTCAGTCAGTCGAGTCAGAGGCAGTCAGAAACAAAGTCGTGTTCAGACAATTACTACTAAACCTGATTGTTCGTACTAACACTTTCTACTCTGTATATATTCCTGTTTGTAATATATCTGTTATTCCATATCCGTGTTCGAGTTCTTCTTTATTGGTTCTACCTTGGACTATCACCGTGGTACAAGGAACCGGACCATAACAGAATCATTACATACACTTACGGTATTTGCTTAATATTGTGAAAAAGATGATGATGTCAACCTTATAGATCAGTAAGGTAAGATCAATATGTCTGTAGCCTGAGAAATATTTAGTTTCTGAATTTGGAACTAAACATTAGATTTTATGATATTCGGTCATGCCGATAAATATCTGCCTTAGAAAAAAAAAATTCGTCGATAGCTTATGGTACAGATTTAAACTATAAATATGCAACACATATAACGGCATAGCCACATATTTTTACAGCTCAATTTAACTTTTGAAAATTAAAAAACTGTGGAACTGATAAAGTTCTTTAAATAAAGGGCACATGGCATAGTGAATAAAGGCTTAGTTAGATCCAATGACTGGACCCAAAGAGTGTGAGTTCAATACCCGGTTAAGGCAGTGGAGAACTTGGAGAAGCAAATTAACAGAAGATGACTGATAACTGACATCCATTAAACATGGCACGTGGAAGTAGAACAGTCTACCCCAGTGAGCGAAATAACATTCCAACCACATTCCAGCCGGAGCGTACAACGGCCGAAACGTTGTAATAAATATGGCGACAACGATGAGGATAATAGTCCGAATAATGTAAATAGTGTACATAATACCTGATCATCTCAGAAATATAGACAGATACTGAAAGGACGAAACGTTGTAATAAATATGGCGACAACGATGAGGATAATAGTCCGAATAATGTAAATAGTGTACATAATACCTGATCATCTCAGAAATATAGACAGATACTGAAAGGACGAAACGTTGTAATAAATATGGCGACAACGATGAGGATAATAGTCCGAATAATGTAAATAGTGTACATAATACCTGATCATCTCAGAAATATAGACAGATACTGAAAGGCCGAAACGTTGTAATAAATATGGCGACAACAATGAGGATAATAGTCCGAATAATGTAAATAGTGTACATAATACCTGATCATCTCAGAAATATAGACAGATACCAAATAAAGCTTCTTAAAGATTCCCGTTGTATCTTCATCTTTTTTTTTTTCTTATATTTTGAACAGTGTGGGTTATATAAAAAAAAATACTTTCCTATATTCAAATCTTTATTCGATTTTGCTTACAGTCGTACAAGTATTTTCTTTTCTGGACATAAAGTGTATAAAAAAAAGGAATCATTAATAATAAAAATGAGAAACACGAGTTTTTTTTTTTTTAATTTTTGCTGACGATTTGATGTTCAACATTTGAAGTTGAAATGGCCGCTTCGGAAAAATAATGCAAACTCGATGCCGGTAGATATTCAGTCTGAGCTCGTATGTAATATATGCGCGAAGGTTGTTTTATCACGTTCAAGATTTGCTACTCAGTACCTAATCAATACCTAGTCATTAGAAAAAAATATTTACATCAAAATCGGCAGTCTAATGCCGACTACATGAATGCCATTCCTGATGGCTATTTACTTCAGTTTTGTTATCAGATTTACAGGTTTAGCGTCGTGCTAAGGTTCCACATAAGAGAGCAAGAGGTTAAAATCACTTTCAGTACACTCTAAAGTCTTTCGTATATCATATATGTAAAAAGGTATGCAGGGGCGAGGCAGGTTTCATGTATGGCCGCTCAGATCAACATTGAAGAGATTGTCTTCGTCTGTAAAGAAGTAGCAGTTATCATTTATGTATATACTCCTGAGAAGGATGATAAAATCAGATTGCGTGAATGTGTATTGTTTTCGTTCAAAGTCTAGAATTTTCCTTTCATGTATTTCCTTTTTATCCATATCGTTTTTTTTTCCTTTCATCGTCATCATCATCTTCTTCCATATTCTTTTATTTTTACTGCTTAACACTATTCGTCTCCACCAGTATCTTCTTGCTTTTATCTTACTTGTTCATATCCTTCATCGCTTAGTTTTTTTTTCTTGGCATTTATTCCTATTGTTCATTTATTTCTTTATCTTATTTTTTTTTTTACAGAATACATAATTTCTTACGTTTATTTATTTTTCTCTACGTGTGTCAACTTTCATTCTACGTCGATTGTTCTCGCTTTTACCATCATCTAATTTTTATTCCGCCATGTTTGCAATTCATGATTTATCTCCCCTGATTACTGCATTTGTTTGCCTCTATTTATTTAATTGTTTCTTTCCTTCCTCCGCAGAATAAATTTCCGACTGACATTTTTTTTCATTTATTTTGGCTACATATAAACCCTGTCGGAACTGGAAGTCTTATGTATGGTCTCAGTTTCCGGAATTGATAGGGAAATCTTTAAAAAAAAAAAAAGAAGCCAACTTGCAAACATAGTTTGTTTGTTTGTTTTTTTTTTTTTTGTTTGTATTTTGTTTTTCGAATATTTATCTTTGGAAAACTGTTGTAACATTTCTTCCTCGATTACTTAACAGAGATCAGAGTAGTTCCCTAATAAATATCCGTCCATTTTGCTAACCTGTCTAAAACTTCGTTTGTTTGATTCAGGCAATTGTCTACGTCGATAATTACGTATCTCTCTCTCTCTCTCTCTCTCTCTCTCTCTCTCTCTCTCTCTCTCTCTATACATATATATATATATATATATATATATATATATATATATATATATATATATATATATATTAACAACGTTGAACCTCTTCTCAAATGAAAATAGATTGAAAAGTGAGGCGGGGGACAAAGAAAATTGATTATAACGTTTAGGAAAATATAGGAAGAAAATGAAGAAAAAAGAAAATGGAAGAAAGATAAAAAGGAAAGGCAGGAAGCAAAAGAAAGAAAGAAAGAAAGAAAGAAAGAAAGAAAGAAAGAAAGAAAGAAAGAGAAAAAGAGGAGTGAAATAAAGGAGGAGAACATATAAAAGAAAACGAGAAAAAAAGAAAGCAACAAAGATAGCTTTGAGAGACAAGAGAGAAACATGAGGACATGTAAAACGAAAATTACGAAAACGAGAGACAAGCAACATCTTTCATTACTTCTGATCTTTCAGATTTTGTTCACTGCACCAAATTTGTTAAATCTAGAATTAAATTCACTCTAATGAAAATTTGTTCCATACGTTGCTTAGCGTTGTAAATATCGATAGCACCAGGTACAAATTTATAAAGCAGCAATACGCACAGAAGTTTATGTTAATTTGATAAACATTAATAACGCGCATAGCTTTTTCGCGATCATTTTTACATGCTTTGCTATCACGTTTTCTGCTTATATTTGATTGGTTTCGCCTGGTGTCGTTTCTGCCGCAAGCTTGAAAAATTCCATTATATCTCGTCTCACAGTCTTAATAATTTGAAATTAATGTTTTCTTTTCTGCATCAAGTTGAAATTACAATCAATATCGTCGCGGGTTACATTTGAAAGCAAATGGCATTTTTTTTTTCGGATGGAATTAATTAGTTGCTTACAAATGAAAAGTGCAATCTTTTTCTTGAACTACATTAGATAGGTTGTAGGAAAGAGATGAGTAAGAAAGGATGAAGTTAGCGACGCGGAAGATAAAGAATAATAGAGACGTACGAGTAGATGGAGAAATAAAGAGAGTGCGGAAAAAGGAAAGGGTGAAGAATGATCTTAAAAAATAAGGGATGGAAAAAAAAGCATAAAGAGAGATTAATGCTATCATGAAAGAAAGACAGGAAGAAAAAGGAGTGAGATAGTAATGACGCATGGACAATACGAGTAAGAAAGAAAGGGAAAATGAATAAAGGAGAGGGAGCAATGAAAATTACATAAAGATAGATGAGATAGATAGATAGATAGATAGATAGATAGATAGATAGATAAATAGATAATTGGAAATAGAATTGACATAGATAGATAGATAGATAGATAGATAGATAGATAGATGAATGAAAAGAATAGATAGAATTGATATATAGATAGATAGATAGATAGATAGATAGATAGATAGATAGATAGATAGATAGATAGGAGAAGAATCGATATAGATAGATAGATAGATAGATAGATAGATAGGAAAAGAATCGACATAGATAGATAGATAGATAGATAGATAGATAGATAGGAAAAGAAACGACATAGATAGATAGATAGATAGATAGATAGATAGATAGATAGATAGAGAAAAAAAAAGAAAGGAAAATTTGAAAAGAAAATAGGGAGAATGATAAAATAATGAGAGAGAAAAAGAAAAAAAGAGGGTGATTTTTTAAGCATAGCTTAGATGTGGTTGAAAGTATAGAGCATCTGGTGAGAATCGAACTCACTATTTAGTCATAACTTGAACTAGCCAGGCAAACTCGCTAAGCATTACACCATGTCGTAAGAAAAATATGTGGTAAGACAAAAGGCTATTTATATTCGAACTATTGTCGTTATCTTTGGCGTTTTTATCACATCGTTTCTATACTTGTAAACCCTGGCCTTTCTTAGGTGTATATCGATCTGAGTAAAAAAAAAACAAAGATGAGAAGAATAACCCGAATACAAATCGTGTAAACAATAATAAATCGCCATCCCAAAATTCATACAAAATGATTGATTTTTTAAAAACTCTTTATTATTATTTAAAGCCGAATATATATTTTGAATTGTATAAAGGTAAAAGACAATAGCAAAACTGTTTTATTAGCCGACGCGTTTCGCCCCATGTAGACACTTTCAAGGCAAAAAAGAAATGAATTTATTGAAAACAAAGTAACAATTATCAACAGACAAAATGTCCTTAGCAACTAAAAGAATTTAGAAAACGCTATTGTATTCATATTGCCAAGTGAAAATTATGTCAAATACTATCAGTATTTCAGTTGACAATAGCGTTTTCTAAATTCTTCTAGTTGCTAACGACATTTTGCTTGGTGTTAATAGTTACTTTGTTTTCAATAAATTCATTTTGTTTTTGGTTTTCGCACCGAACACTTTATTTCGTCCACCGGGATAGATTGTTCTAGTTCCACTTGCTATATCTCTTCTGGGTGTCTCAGTTATTTGAGAACCAAAACTTGGAAAGGGAAATAACTGAGACATTCGGAAGAGATATGGCACGTGGAACTAAAACAATCTACTCCAGTGGACGAAATAAAGTGTTCGGTTCGAAATTCCAGTTATCTTGTGAGTGAAATTGGGTAAACAGAACCCTTGCCGTCGATAGCTGTGCTAGCACAAAATCAGAAGTCACCGTGGGCGAGGGATTGGAAGTGCTGGCCTTGTTCAAATTGTTGATGACGCTAGGTAACGCACTCTCTCCCAGAAACTGTAACTAAAGTCTGCTCAGCATAGTTGCAGTATAAACCACGGGTGGACTCTGTGGGTATTGAACAAACACAAATAGGTCTCAGCGAGCGCCTGTGATAGGGATTGTCTAGCTGCCCTAGTAGGCAGGTATCCTCGGATACGAGTGGCCAGATATTATATATAAATATATATATATATAAGTGCATGTATTGAAAATTGACTGTAAAGCTCTAATATCTTTATTTCATCAACAATGTCCAAAGAATAGCAAACAAAACCTAAAACATAAAAAGATCATAACAACTAAATTAATAATAATAATAATAATAATAATAATAATAATGGAGTTTCAAATGGATGCAGTTGAAAATAGCGTTTTCTAAATTCTTCTAGTTGCTAAGGACATTTTGCTTGTTGTTAATAGTTACTTTGTTACAAGTAAAGCACAATACACCGACTGTATGCTGCAAAATACATAACAAAGAAAGCGAAAGCAAATGCAACCGACCAGATACAGAAACAATGGAAAGATAAACTGTTTCATGGCCAATACTCTACCCGTACCAAACTTGCTGATGTAGACAAACCCCGTGCCCATCATTGGCTACGTAGTGTAGGGTTAAAAGCTGAAACGGATGATTTTATCCTTGCTGCACAGGATCAGTGCTTGTTAACAAGAAATTATCAAGCACACATGGTAAAATATTGTGTTAGCCCAAAATGCAGGTTTTGTGATAATTACCCAGAAACAATAGATCATCTTGTATCAGGTTGCACGGTACTGGCACACACTGAATATAAAACCTGACATGACACAGTTGGCCAATATTTTCAGACCCGATTACGGGGATAGGACCTGTTACAATTTCATACACACTACACACTACACACAAACAGAACAATCAAAGCTAACCGCTAAGCCTTTGTTATGCCTCCTTATTAATATGGCAGTCCTTGCAGACTGCAATGTATCTTGGAAGATATTCAAAAAGCTGTCAAAATACAAGAACTTTGAAAGCGAAATCTCAAAAATGTGGCATATGGGAACATCAGCAATCCCTATTGTAGTTGGAGCCCTCGGAATAGTTGGAAAAGATTCCAGTAGACTAATTGAAGGGATTCTTGGAAACCCATGCCTTAAAGAAATACAAAAAATTGTTCTCATGAGTACAGCCCACACCTTACCTTTATCTATGTAAAGTATTTTTTTTTTTTGTTGTTTTGCAGTGGAAAATGCCATGATGCCATTTCTAACCCTAGGCCTTCGGGCGGGACCCGAAACGAAATGTGTACACACCAGAAATCAAAGGAAATAATAATAATATTAATGTATTAAAAATGACATAATATTAACTAGTAACTGCCATAATATTTTTTATTCAAACTAATATATCCACTCTTTATTTTAATCTAATTACAACTATATTCATAACTGTTGTGTATATGATCAGGAATAAAAATGTCCATAATAACAATAATTCTGAATGTTGAAACTTGACTAATGCATGGAATAATAATCCAACACAAAATGTACTTAGAACAAAATGTATTGAAACAAGAAAAGTGTACACAATATTTACATATAGTCTTTTGTATATTCTTGGGAAGAGCGTTCCTGGAGAATGTATTGACTTAGTCGCAGTCGGGCAGAGTCTCTGGATTGAATCTCTTGATTCCTCCCCCTCGTCTTCCCGGTACCAACCATATTTATATGGTCGGTACTCCACTATGCAAATTAGGTGGATCCTACCACAACACTGAAGCAGGTGCATATAACTGTAACAGTTTTACATACAATATATTGAAACTTTGAAAAATTAAAATAAAATACTTAAGAAATTAAGATTTTCTATATAACAATTAATCCAATGTGTTAATTATAAATGGTGTTTCATTAAGACGAATCAAAGTCAACAGTAAAAAAAATTAGTGTTATTGGTAAAAATTTATTTATTTCTCTATTGGATCATGTTATTTAAATCATGGCAATTATGTGTGAAAAATAATATCGCGCAAATATTCGTCAAGGCTTCGGCGGCACACCTCCACTCGATGGTCAAAATTTTTGATGACGTCTCTGGATAGTTGCTCCTCGATCTCACCAATATGCCTTATTATCTCATCCTTCAGCTGTTGAATTGTTTTTGGCTTGTTGGCATAGACCTTACTAAAAAAAAACTAAAGGCGTCAAGTCGCACGATCATAGTGGCCAATTGACTTCGCTGTTTCGAGAGATGATGCGACCTGGGAACTTCTCGTTCAAATTCTGTTTGAACGTCCATTTTCGTAATAGGCTTCGATAACTTTAACCCGTTGTTTGATTGTTAATCTTTCCATGACTGAAACTGCCAAAGTTGTTAAATCTGAAAGAAAAAGAAAAAAAAATCATTAAACGCTTAAACATAATTAACATTTAAAATCTGTCCAAGTTATTGGAACACCCTTTACAAAGAAATAATTTCAGCCACAATTTCGATCTAAAAAAAAAATACTTTTTAGAGAGTAAATAATTTAAACGAAAATTAAGTGCGGTAATTAACTCTTGCTAAAACATTAATTCATGTCCTGGATTTTTCAAATATCTCGTTTCTTAAATGAAATGCTTCTTTCTGGGCATTTATATTTGTGTAACTATATTTTTATTAATTAAAAGAAAACGCTTAACTCATGTCATTTAAAATTAAATTGATTCAATAAATATGCAAATAAAATAATAAATATTTGCATAAAATATAAATAAGAACAACTAATATTGATCACGATCATCAT